GGGGGGGGTTAGCCGCAGCGGAAGATAATGAGATGTTGTGGAACATGTTCTTGGGACGAAACTGACCCGACCCGGTTACTCCATAACCCGGATCCATACCCGTCTGGTGATCAAACGGGTACAACCCGGAAGACACAGGCGGCGAAGAAATGTCTAGCCCGCCGAGCAACGGAAGCTGCGTCGCCGGAAACCGCCACTGTTCGAGTCCCGAAAAAATCCCAGAAGCTCCGCCGCCGCCGCTTCCGCTTCCTATCTGAAAAGCGGTGAAGTCGGGGTGGTGGTGATGATGATGAGCGGAAGAACCTGAAACGGCGCCGTATTGAAAGGTGAGGTTGTCGGTGTTGGTGAAGTCATGGTGTGGATCCAATGGAGCCATGAGTTTGAGAGGTGGTAGAGAAGATCCAAGCCCTAGAACGTGATCATTCCCAGTGATTAATCCCGTGTTGTAGGAAGAGAGTATCGAAGAAAGGGTCGAAGTTTGTCCCATGGGATTTACTGCTGTGGCTGTATTGCTCGTGTTGCCGTCGTGGGACTTTGAACTTGTCGTGTTGCTGCTGCTGCTGCTTCCTCCGCCGCCGCTTTTGGAACGCTTGTTTCTCCGGCAGCCTCCGCCAACGGGAACGTTCCTCAGGGCGCCGCCACGTGTCCAGTAACGGCGGCAGGTCTTGCAGAAGTGGCGGGGCTGAGAGAGGCTGTAGTTGTTGAAGTAGCAAAACTTTGTATTGGTGGATTCGCATCGTGGGCATTTCAAGGCTGCTTCAGGCATGGGGACGTTAGCCAGTCTGGCCCTTTCCGCCATGGAACCAGGCCGGACCGAGGAGCTCGAGCCTCCGCCGCCATGGGGAAGCGGCGGAAGATGCTGAGGTTGCTGCTGCGGTTGAAGAGGCTGATGAGGAATAAATTGCTGGTTGTCGTTTCCGGTGATGCCAACGGTGGTTGTGATTGGTTGCTGGTATATAAAATTATTGGAAAATGATTCAGAAAAAGAAGGGACAAGTTTTTAAGCTTGAAAAGATTACAAGGGTATATTCAAAATTCAACCATAGATATGCAGGAAATCATCAAAAAGTGAAAAAAAAAACACCAAAGAGGAATATCATCAAAAGTGAGAATTAAAAGAGGAATATACATAATTTAAACCCAAGAGACCAAAACAGATGAAAAAAAGGAAGAACAAAACATTGGATGAAGAGAGAGAAGGGAATACTTACTTGTTGTTGCCAGTTGGAGGGATCAGGATAGTTTGGGAAGGAAGAAAAAACCATGGCTTCCTTCTTCTTGATGATCTCTCCTTTCTTTTCTTTGTTTGAGCAATAAAGGAGCTAAAGTTGGAATTTTTATGGGGGCTTATGAAGTGGAGAATTACATCAAATGGAAGAACTTTAGAGAGAGAAAAAAAGAAGAGGAGGATGTGGAGATGAGAGAGAGAGAGAGATAGGGCAATGGTAAAGGAATGACCTTTATTCATATATATATATATATATATATATATATATACATATACGTGTGGTTGTGTTCTGTATAGGTGTGAGGGAATATATCGGCATTATGTGTTTACTAAAATAAAATGAAAAATAGGGTGTCATTGGTGTTGGGCTCTTTTTGTTTTATTAATGCTTTTACACACACACACACACATATATATATATATATATATAATATTTATTTTAGCGTTTGGAGAAGGTGGAGGAGGGAGTGTGTCACATTGCTTAACCCGTAAGCTTCTTTTAGATTCGCTTACTGCCATACGTACTATTGCTTCTGCACTGTATGCAAAAGCTCTCTCTCTCTCTCTCTCTCTCTCTCTCTCTCTCTCTCTCTATCTCTATCTCTATATATATATATGTATGTCCTTCAAAATATTCAAGTTTTTCATTGAATTTTACAATGTTGAATTAAAAGTATGTTATTCATGTGATGAGAATGAGAAATTACCAATATGATTAAATGATATTAATATATTTATGGAGTTTGAATATGATAAAAATGATACTGATCCAAAAAAGGAAAAATGTTTAATATAGTTTCAATTAAAGACAAGGTGCTAAAAATAATATACATAATGAATATATATATATATATATGTGTGTGTGTGTGTGTTATTATAAACAAATTTACCAAAGACTCCAATATCTGATATATTTACAAGGTTAACTAGATAGGTCATATATATCAATTACAGTTATTGGTTATTGTCAACAAGGCTCATATTATACATGTAAACTTTTAGTTGATTAGAGCAATACAAAATATATACAGTATCTCTTGAGTGTATGTATGCATATACATATGCATGTGTAATGAAAAGAATAGGAACTTTGTATCCTGCTCTTAAGTAAACATTTTTTTTCTTAAAGGGAGAGGAAGTTGGTCCAAATGGGGCATTTATTAGATACAATGTAAATTATAAAATTTAAGAATGAGTGAATTAAGGCAACGAAATAATAATTAAAAGTAACATAAAGTATATTAATTAAAACATCCCAACATTCCCCAAGTGTCCCCCGTCTTTTTTTTTTCTGTTGTTGCTTTTCTTACCCTTCGGACCGCCGTGATGTTTTCCTTTATCTTTCATATATATATATATATATGCATGAGAATATTTCTATATTCATCAAAAAAAAATTATCCATGTCAATACCACGCGCCCCATAGGCGAGTGCAGAGGTCGCAATTTCGAGCCTCCACAGCCCAAAATAACTTTGACTTTGACTGATGCTGAATCAAACCGAAATCACCGGTTTGGTTCTGGTTCGGTTTAATCTTGTGTTGTCAGATGAAAAGGAGTCCGTTGAGCATTGTGGCAAAATTCCAAATTGATATTCAAAATAAAGCCCAAATGACTTATCAGATCTCCGTTTATATATGGGTTATTTAAACAATACTAATGGGCTTAAGATTGGGCCCATTGGTCTTATTAGGATCTCATACGGCCCAAATTTACTTTATCTCGGTCCCACATAGAATATTAAAAATATATATCTCGTACACGAACAATTCTAATTTTAATAAATTTTACTTGTTTCTAAAATACAATGCCAAATTGTTTAATATTGATTTTATATCATTTTATATATACGCATAAAAATTACGATACACCAAAAAACTGTGATTTATTATATGTATTTCCCATTATACAATGATGGTGATTCATTATATGTATGATTTTTATAAATTTAATTAATAATCTATATTTTATCATGTTAATAATATTTTGATAAGAAAGTTTTCTAAATCTATTACTATATATATATATATATTATAATGGTATTAAGGTAAATTTACAAATTCTTTTTTTTTTCCATCTAGGAGATGAGATATAGTATGATTGTGGGAATTTGCAAAATTCCATCCAAATATATTTTCGGGATAACTTCAAATGGACACTCGATTCTCAATTATTGATGTTTTTATAAGTCTTTTGATTCCTTCTCCCTCCATCTTGTGTTCAATCCCATCGTTTCCTCCCTTGTGTCATTCCAGCTTTTTATAATATATATATATATATATATATATATATATAAATATATGTATGTATATATATATATATATATTCCTGTCTGAATATACGCCCGCAAATACTCCAACTAACAAAATGTTCACAAAAATAGTCCATGAACATGTATGAGCATAATTGTAAAAACTCATGAAGATTTAACACATACATTTTGATGTTAAACAACAATCTACTAAAGAAACTTAACATGAGAAAAAAAAAATTAATAAAGAAATATTGCTATCCATCTATTGAAATTAGTTTATTTAGAATTTAATATTTTGAAATTAGAAATATTTGACCTACTTACACACTAAAATCGATAAATTGCGATCATTTATAAAATATTTATCAGTAATTAGTGTGAACATATTCTAATTAGACTATTATTAGATCAACAACTTAAACCCAAGTTTTATTGTTTAATTTTATCTTATGGGCATGTACTTGTGAAAATAATTCAATTTTCGTCCATAACTTGTCAAATTAAGTTGATTTTAAAATGCAGTGGCAGCTGCGTAGACACGACAAGTGACACTAAATCCTTTTTTTTTAATTTATGGGAAATCGCCATATAATAATCATTGGTGGAACATTGGGGGAACGAGTATTTACTAACAATAGATAATGAAAGTCTACTTCTGATCCGAACTTAACCGAGGCAGGCCGTTTATGATAAATATAATGTTGACAAAGTTTTTACGTATAATATCTCATTGAATAATTGCAATACGGGTTTATAGTGTTACATATTGAGAAATTCTGCTGAAATATTAAAAAAATATATATATTATGTCCTATTTATAAATTTCAAAATTCATTCATTTCCTTCGTTAATATGATTTCAAATTTCGTCCTTTTCTCAAATAGAAGTTTCCATTTCCCCATAAACTGTATTGTTGTATTAAAGAAAAACTTAAGATAATTTGAGTTATTTTTTTTTTGGTATAAAATGGAAATTGTTTTTTTATTTATGTTAGTACAATTTATAAAAAGCTTCATGCATGAAAAAAAAAATATAGTTTTCCACGCCTTGACCCATAATCACAATCTAAACTCAACAAAGTAATGTTGGTAGGACACTTTCGTATAATTGCTGAAAATAAATTTAATAATAATAATAATATAGAATGTGTAGTAACTTGGGATTGGACCGACCTACAGTTTGCGCATACACATTAATAATGAGACTGAATTATTTATCAGTCGATGGAATGTGATAAGCACATGCACCACCACGATAAGTACGCCTCGCATTCGCACATTGAGACGAGGTCATATGTCTTTTTATTATTAATAATAATATTTATTTCATTTTCTCTAATAAAATTACTTTCTAAATCAATCTCATAAAAATATAGGACTAAATATTAAAATATCTAATTTTTTCATGTAAAAATATTATTATTATTTAAAATAATAGTACAAGTATATAAATGTTTAAAATATTATCACAGTTTTCGAAATAAGACGTTAATATATATATATATATATATATATATATATATATATTTGAAATATATGTTTTTATACAGAAATTTTAGTTGTTAATGTATCGATATAAAATTCTATTCGTGTATGTCACAAATGAAAGCTTCAATTATTTTCAAGTCGCATCGATATTATATGGTCGTTTTTTTTTAAATTTCTGGTATAGAAAAAAAAAGGAAAAAAAGGAGAAGAAAATAGAAAAAAGACATGGAGCCGTCACCGTGAACTAACGGAGTGGACGGTCAGGTGGTATCTAGTTCAGGCTGTTCCCTTCCCTCGCTAACCCTCAAAGCTCCACAACGCTTCGCCTTCACTCGGTCCCGGGGAAGAGATTGCTTTCTCATTACTTTTGATTTTCGGGAGAAGAAGCTGCAGATTGATATCGTGGAAATGGTCTGTGTATGCAATCGGTCTGTCTCTTCGTCTCCATTTTTCATTGCTTATCCCCAAAGGTACTTTCTTCTGGGCTTCTGATTCATGAAACTTTGATGTAAATTATCGTCTTTGGATTTGTGGATTTTCCGAAAGAGGGGAATTTTTTTTTTTCTCGTGGGTTGTTTTATTTTCCTTTGTTTGGGTTGTCCTTGATATTCTCCTGGATGGGGTTGAAGTGTTTGGGACGGTGTTTTCCACCGGTTTTTGGGGGGTTTCGGGAGATTCTAGGGTTAGGGTTAGATATTGTGTTTCTCTAGCGTCTTCATTCAAATCTCTTTCTCTCTCTCCCTCTGGTAGAGATTGAAGAGATTTTTGACTTAGCGATTAGGGTTTCTTCGATCGTTTGGCTTTTGTCGATGCGGGTTCATCGGGACATCGTGGATTTCGGTTTCTGATTGTGGAATCTGGGGGTTTTCCTGGAAGGGAGAGATCTTGTGGAGATTTTGAGGAAACCGATTTCCAATCCTATTGACCCCAAAGAAGCAAGATGGAGAAGGGAAGGTGAATTGGGAAATGAAAGGCTCGATTTTTACCGTTTTATCAGAGCAGAGTCATCACCCTTCTACATTCTTATCAATGGATTCTAGTGCCTCGTCTCACGAGGAACTTGATCTGGAGATGAACAATGGCAACCGGCAAATCGCCCTTTACCACCCACCTGATATCAATCTGCCATTGTCAGTAGGATGCAGCTCCCCGTTGCAAGCATGGAACTTGGATTCTTGTGATAACATTTTGGATGTCGGGCTTGGCTCGCAAGCTTACGAGACTGAGACGTTCCTTAGCGTGGTTCCTAATAAGGTCACAAAGAAATGTTCCAAGCGAGGCGATAGTATTTGGGGTGCTTGGTTTTTCTTCAGCTTCTACTTCAGGCCTGCCTTGAACGACAAATCAAAGTGCAAGATCATGCGTGACGATAATGGAGGTTCCTTCACAGGGTTTGATAAATCTGACCTCAAGCTTGATGTTTTTCTTGTACAGCATGATATGGAGAATATTTACATGTGGGTTTTTAAGGATAGGCCCGAGAATGCTCTCGGGAAAATGCAGTTGAGAAGCTACATGAACGGGCATTCTCGGCAAGGTGAGCGTCCGTTTCCGTTTAGTGCAGAGAAAGGGTTTGTTCGCTCTCATCGAATGCAGAGGAAGCATTACCGAGGGCTCTCAAATCCTCAATGTGTTCATGGAATTGAGTTTGTCCCCTCGCCTAATCTGCTATGTCTCAGCGATGAAGATAAGAAACGATGGATGGAGCTTACGGGCCGTGACTTGAGTTTCACGATCCCACCTGAAGCCGGTGATTTCAGTTCATGGAGAAATCTGCCCAACACTGAATTCGAGCTCGAGAGGCCATCATCATCATCTCATGCCGCAAAAGCTGCAGCATCTAATCCCAATGCGAAAAAGCTGCTGAATGGCTCGGGCCTACATTTGACAAGTCACCCATCTCATCACAGCAACGGTGACTCATCAGATCAATCAATGGGAGCCAATAAGAAGAGGAAAGAGTTCTTGTCGCCAGGAAGCAGCGAAGAAGAGTGTTGCTTGACTGTAAACACGACTCCTCACCATCCAAGCTGGCAGAACGAATTCGCGGGCGTGATGAAGAACACCGTGAATGGACCTGTAACAGCTGCAAAGACAATCTACGAAGATGAAGAAGCGTATCTGATAATCATAACTCTACCCTTTGTGGATCTGAACAGCGTGAAGGTGTCGTGGAGGAACAACGTGGAGCGTGGGATCATAAAGGTCATGGCTTTGAGCACATCATGTGCACCATCGGTCAGAAGACGAGATCGGACGTTCAAGCTGGTGGATCAGACGGCAGAGCACTGCCTGCCCGGAGAGTTCATGAGGGAAGTGCGGTTGCCAAGTCGGATACCGGAAGATGCGAATATAGAAGCGTATTTCGATGGGATGGGACCAGTTCTGGAGATTAGGGTGCCGAAGTTGAAAGGGGGAGAGGAGGAAGAGCATGAGGTTAGGGTTTGTATGCGTCCACACCACCTTGGAACCAATGAGCTCATGTTGAACTAATGACAGAAGTATTTACCAGTGTTTTGCTTTTTGTTTGTAATGGGAAATAAACCAGGCAGTAACAGAGGATTGGTGCAAATGCCAAATCAAATGCTTAAACTGTGTTCGCTTTCTTTGCAATGGCTTTCTCTATTTCTTTTCAGCTCTTGTTGTTGAAAAAAAAATGGAATATTTTTCTTCAAGTCAATAAATAATGGTGCTACTGCTACTTATAATTACAAATAACTGGCGAGATTATATGATTAACAAGTTAATTATTTTATACATATATCTCCCTGGATATTACTGAATTTTTCGCACACAATATACTAGAATTTTCACAAATACAAAAAGATTAGTTGAATTCCATCTAAAGATGAGCGAAAATTGAAGAATGAGCCGAACTCGATAAAATTTCCGACAAAATTAAGATAACGATGGGTTCAAAAAATGCAAAATGAAAACCATAACAATGGTGGGTTTTCCGAACAAAACATGAAAATTTCACGAAAATCCGACAGAACAGCGATGGAGATGATAAAAACTGAACATCTGGATTAAAGAGATTCTTTAGTCGACTTCCTCAATCTTGGGACCAGCACCGCTTCCGCCGGAGGGAGGAACATCGTCGTCCATTCCGGCGCCAGCGGCCGCTCCGCCCATATCACCACCGGCTCCTCCTTGGTACATCTTGGCAATGATTGGGTTGCAAATACTCTCCAGCTCCTTCATCTTGTCCTCGAACTCGTCCGCCTCCGCCAACTGGTTCCCCTCCAGCCATTGAATCGCCTCTTCAATCGCATCTTCTATCTTCTTCTTGTCCGCAGCCTGAAGCTTCTCCCCAATCTTCTCGTCTCTGATGGTATTCCTCATGTTGTATGCGTAGTTCTCAAGTGCATTCTTGGATTCCACCTTCTTCTTGTGCTCCTCATCCTCCGACTTATACTTTTCCGCCTCTTGCACCATTCTCTCGATCTCATCCTTGGAGAGACGGCCCTTATCGTTGGTGATCGTGATCTTGTTCTTCTGTCCAGTGGTCTTGTCCTCTGCCGAGACGTTGAGGATGCCATTAGCGTCGATGTCAAAGCAGACCGTGATCTGGGGAACACCTCTCGGGGCAGGTGGGATTCCGGAGAGTTCAAATTTTCCAAGGAGGTTGTTGTCTTTGGTCCTGGCTCTCTCACCCTCGTACACTTGGATCAACACCCCAGGCTGGTTGTCAGAATAGGTAGAGAAGACCTGTTCCTTCTTTGTCGGGATGGTTGTATTCCTCGGGATCAGTACGGTCATGACACCACCGGCGGTTTCCAGACCGAGGGAGAGAGGGGTCACGTCCAACAAGAGTAGGTCCTGAACCTTCTCGTTGCCTTCACCACTGAGAATGGCAGCTTGGACAGCTGCACCATACGCTACGGCCTCGTCTGGGTTGATGGATTTGCAGAGTTCCTTTCCGTTGAAGAAATCTTGGAGGAGCTGCTGAAA